CCAGTTTACCATCCTTTGATATGTAGTACATGCATTCTTCAATATGAATGGTATTACTATGTAGCAATACAGATCTCGGCTCGTGACAAAAGAGGTTGAAATCTTCTGGTTGGGAAAATGCATTTTAATTTGGTTGTACCTAGAGTAGGCGTCCATAAAACTCAGTCTTTCATGTCCAGCGGTGGTGTCGACAAGTTGGTCTATCCGAGGCAGAGGAAAAGAGTCCTTTGGGCAGGCCTTATTCAAGTCCAAGTTCGTGAAGTCGATGCACATTCTCCACTTACCATTGAACTTCTTCACCAGTACCATATTGGATATCCACTAAGGGTAATGCACTTCTCGAATGAATCCGGCTTTCAGTAACTCGTCGACTTGCTCGGCCACGATCTCATTCGTGGCTTTGTTGAAGGTGCAGTGTTTCTTCCTCACTGGCCTATAATTCCCATAACTTAATCTCATTGTTATAGTCGAAGTCATTGTACAGTATCCCCTAAGAGATGATGCAGTGGCAAGGGCTTTGGGTCTTGTGGTATTACCTACCATGAGGTCTTGGATCAAAACCTCGTGCTGGTCACTATGTTGCTCGATCCAGACAACTAGTTTCGGTTATAGTGATCCACAGCGTAAGCCACACGACATTAATTCTAAGAAATGAAAAAAAAAGATATTTTCTCCTCTAACTGTAGTTGTAAATTATAACTGAATAGGCAATATCCTGGTGTTGTTGATTTGAATAGTGTAGAGGTCCACGAGATCTGGATATTTTGGATAAAGGAAACTTAAACTTAACATTAAACTTGAGAGGTGTAGTTTTACACGGCCCTACGCTTGATCTTGCTTCACGATTATCAAACTTGAGAGGTGCAGTTTTACACGACCCAATTTTATCTAGACTAAGGGTATTGTATCCTGTCAAACGGACTTATTGGTTCAATATCTACAAGGTCTATTTTGCTACCTTGTTATCATTTATTTAATTCAGAAGATAGTATCATATTGTTATGTTTCCTTGTTCATAACATCGACAAAATTGGTCTGGTAAACTTCATGTTTAATTATACATGTAAGATAGTATCTTCTTGTTATGTTTCCTCGTTGTAGTGAGGATTTCACATTCATATATCTATGCAGTTGTTGTTCTTTTTATCTATATAATTGATTCGTCGTAATGATTTTTTGAAAGTTATGTGACTACCTATTTCACCAATGTAATGCACGTTGGAGTTAGAAAGAAAATGTGGGAGTTAATATTAATATTTTCTTAATTGTTCGTTTTTATTTTGTTGAAGGAGTAGCTTGTGGGAGCAACATTTTGAGAAATGAGAATGTATGGGGAAGAATTTCGGCGTACTTTCGACATGTACAAGGTTGATGTAATGTGAATATAGTATTTGTATAAAATATCATAATGTACAAATTTTATCATACTTAGTTTGTATATGCATATGAAGAAATTGATCTTATTATATGCAACTTGTTACATTTTATAATTTACAAATATAGAGAATTTCTTTGAAATGTGTACATTGTTATTAAATGTATTTCATGATAGCTATGAAATTGTCATATATAAACTTTTTTTGACATTACAAACTTTTATTAAACACAAATTATAACAGAAAAAAAAAGGTCACAATTAATCAATTGTCATGTATAAAATTTTCGTAATAGTTAAAATTGTCAATATAAAGGTATTCATGACAATTAAATATTGTCAATATAAAGATTTTCATGACAGTTAAAACTGTCAATATTGATTTTTAAAACTATCATTATAAAAGTTTTCGTGACAATTATAAATAGTTGTTGTTACATTTTTCTTGACGTTTATTAGCAGTTGTTAAAAAATATTTCATGTCAATTTTGAACCGTCGTTAAAAAAACTTTCATGACAATTATAAACTGTTGTTAAAAAATATTTCGTGACATTTATAAACTGTCGTCATTAAGTTTTTTATTGTCAAGAGAATAAAATCTTTGAGTGTTTAAGTGACAGTTATAAGTGATCACCAAATGAGTTTTGGTGACATTTTTTAATTGTGATGGAAGTTCTATTTGTGAAAAATTATAACTATAGTTGTAAATACGTTAATGACAATTTTTCAGAATTGTCATGTTTCTCCTCTTTCTTGATGTCTTAATCTATAACAGTTATATAACTGTCATGAATTATGTTAATCACAGTTTCTAACTGTAACTGAAGCTCGAATTTCTACTAGTTAGACTATATTAAAAAAGATATGTTTTTTTTATTGAGAAAAAGAAGATATGTTTGATAGACTATATTTTTTAGAAATATTCTCAAAATTGTATAGAAAATTCGGAAACAACAAAATCAAGTTTCTTGTTTTTTTGTTTCCGTTTTTTATTTGTTGCAAAACATAAATGAAAATATTGGATCTTAAGAGTATGCAATTCTATTTTTTTAATTAAAAAAAGAAAAAATAGAAATAAAAAATGGGAGCATTACCAAATAGTGCTAAGTGCTTGGCTGGAGAATGGCTTGATTCTTATCAATTAAATGGAATGATTCTAACTTATTTGGTAATTTTTTAATCAATATCAAATTTTGCTCAAAATTCATTGCTTGCCCTTTAT